GACTACCCCCTGGTTAGCTCTCCTGCCCTGTGATCCATCCAGTGTGAACAAGAGTCTGTTTGGCAGACAAGAACACTCATGATCCCCCAGGCCCTCTACTCCTAGAGGGCTGGTGGTGACATAAAGGGCAGGCTTAGGACTACGATCAAATCGTCCAGCTCTCACGCTCCCCAGGCCACTGCACCCTGCCTCGCCGTGCCTGGCACAGCGCCTCCTAGGGGTAAGAGCTCAGTGCACCTGAGCTAGTCTCAGGATTTCCAATTTTTCAGAGTCATACTGAACATCTCTGATGTGCATTTTTAAATATCTTATTGTTTCCTTAAGAAAATTTCTTAAAGGTGCAATTATCCTTTTAAGAGTGGACATTTTTAAGACTTTTAATAAATATAGAGGAAGCTGCCCTCAGAACGATGTAACAAATTTACCCTTTAATGAGATGATATGCTTTCCTATGTTTTTGCCAAAATTAGTAAAAATAAATAGCTAAGTTCTGGTTTTCTGATTCTAAAAGTAATATATACATGCTTGTTGCAAAATCATCTGTAAATTCTGAAAAAGCAAGTATGTTTTTTTGACAATATTAGCTCTGTGCCATTATTTTTAAGGCATGCTAGCATTAATGGTATGGCTGTGTTTTATTTAGCCAGTCCTTTACTAATAGGCTTTTAGGTGGATATCTTATTTTGCTACTTGCTAACTTTTACAGTGAGTCTCTTGAACATATATCTTTGTGAATGTTTCTAAATATGTACTAATGTAATATCCTTATCCATTCTAATACCTCTCAATTTGATATTTTTAGTTTCTTCTAGGTAATCAATCATATTTGAAAACCATGATGATTTTGACCCTTCCATTTTACTAGTAGATTTTTTTTTCTTTGTGGCATTAACTAAAAGTTCTAGAAGTTCTCGAAAAATACAAAATAATTACAGTGATGCTAGGTTTCCTCTTTTTTTCTGATTTTAATGAAAATGCTTCAAGGTATGGGCAATATTTTCTCTTGACATCAGGTAGCTATTTTTAAATTGTACTAAATAAGTAGCTTTCTGTTCTGAATTTTTTTTAGATTTTTTAAAATTAGAAGCGGATGTTGAAATTTATCAAATGCTTTCTAGCAATTCTTGAGATATTCATGCATTTTTTTCCTGCTTTTACCTATAATGTGGTGAATTAAATAAATATATTTCTAATGTTGAACTCCTTTTACATTTCCAGAATAAACCACGTATGACTTCTTTGAATTTATTTTATAACACATGCCAGGATTCAGTTTCCTGTATTTTATTTTTGATGTCTCAGCAACTCCACCACCACCACCACTATCATTATCATCACCCTGCATTAGCAGGCATCGTCAGCCATACACTGAATGCATACAATATTTTCGAACTTATTTACATCACTTCTTAATCCTAATGGTTAGCCTTTTCTTCATTTATTTTTCAGCTTTATTGGGGATATAATTGGCAAATAAAATTCTAAAATATTTAAAGTGTGCAACCCTCACAGTTATTCTTTTTTTAAATTTTATTTTGTTATGTTAATCACCATACGTTACATCATTAGTTTTTGATGTAGTGTTCCATGATTCATTGTGCATGACACCCAGTGCTCCACGCAGAATGTGCCCTCTTTAATACCCATCACCAGGCTAACCCATCCCCCCACCCCCCTCCCCTCTAGAACCCTCAGTTTGTTTCTCAGAGTCCATAGTCTCTCAGAGTCCATAGTCTCATAGTCCAATCATCTCCCCCTCTGATTTCCCCCCTTTCATTCTTCCCCTTCTGCTTCTTTTTTTTTTTAACATATAATGTATTATTTGTTTCAGAGGTACAGGTCTGTGATTCAACAGTCTTACACAATTCACAGCGCTCACCATAGCACATACCCTCCCCAATGTCCATCACCTAGCCGCCATACCTCCCACCCCCCACCACTCCAGCAGCCCTCAGTTTGTTTCCTGAGATTAAGAATTCCTCATATCAGTGAGGTCATATGATACATGTCTTTCTCTGATTGACTTATTTCACTCAGCATAATAACCTCCAGTTCCATCCATGTTGTTGCAAATGGCAAGATTTATTTCCTTTTGATGGCTGCATAATATTCCATTGTGGTGTGTGTGTGTGTGTGTGTGTGTGTGTGTGTGTGTGTGTGTGTGTATCACATCTTCTTTATCCATTCATCTGTTGATAGACATCTTGGCTCTTTCCATAGTTTGGCTATTGTGGACATTGCTGCTATAAACATCGGGGTGCATGTACCCCTTTAGATCCCTACATTTGTATCTTTGGGGTAAATACCCAGTAGTGCAATTGCTGGGTTGTAGGGTAGCTCTATTTTCAACTTTTTGAGGAACCTCCATACTGTTTTCCAGAGTGGCTGCACCAGCTTGCATTCCCACCAACAGTGTAGGAGGGTTCCCCTTTCTCCGCATCCCCACCAACATCTGTCATTTCTTGACTTGTTAATTTTAGCCATTCTGACTGGTGTGAGGTGGCATCTCACTGAGGTTTTGATTTGGATTTCCCTGATGCCGAGCGATGTTGAACACTTTTTCATGTGTCTGTTGGCCATTTGGATGTCTTCTTTGGAAAAATGTCTGTTCATGTCTTCTGCCCATTTCTTGATTGGATCATTTGTTCTTTGGGTGTTGAGTCTGATGAGTTCTTTATAGATTTTGGATACTAGCCTTTTATCTGATATGTCATTTACAAATATCTTCTCCCATTCTGTCAGTTGTCTTTTGGTTTTGTTGACTGTTTCTTTTGCTCTCACAGTTATTCTTAAGGTAGGTATCATAATCCCACTTTACAGAAAGGATGTAGAATAGTTAAGTATCCAAGTCACAAAAGATTTCTTTAAAATACAGCAAGTATTTACCTATACATCTATTTTCCTCCCAAGCCTACAATTTTAATCATCTTACATGTCTTTAAATTTAGTGGAAAGATTGGTCTGTAGATTATTTCTTAGTGCTCTATTTGAGAAATTTTGCTATCAGGGTTATGCTAGTTTAATAAATTGAAATGCTTTCCAATTTTTTAAAATGTTATTAAATATTTTAAATAGCATGGAATTAATCTTTTCTCCATATCTGAGAATATACCTATTTAATTATTCCAAAAAATGTGCATGTCTGTTTCCTTTTATTTTTCCTTGATCAGATTTGTTTGCCTTTATGTATTTTGTTGGTCTTGTCAAATTAAAAACCAATATTATGTATCAACTGTAATGTTTCCGTCTATGTCCTTTGTTTCACTTTGAGGGCTTTTCATTTTTTGGCTTCTTGGATCGAATGTTCATTTCATTAGTTCTCTAAGATGATGGTCAATACTATGACCACAGCTCACACTTTGTCTCTCTCCCACTTCCAGTGTCCTGCTGAAATGATCCTATCAATGTAACAAGCAAAACTCTATAAACAGTCAATAAAACACAAAAAGTGTAATACTTAACACACCAAAAATATGTAAGAAATTCAGCAATAAATGGGGGTATATTACAGTAGAGGGACTCTTTGTGGGTGGGGAGTAGGTGGGAAGAAAAGCGCACTAGGGAGTAAGGAAAAGGATTCTACCCTGTCCCACCTCACCTCCACTAACAAAGCTCATAGAGCGAATCAATTAAACCATGATGTAAATGTTTTCTGAATGAGTCTAAGCTGTCAATAGACCACATTGACTGTAAGTTTGTGCCATGAGTAACCCCTGAGAAAATAGAAATTTAAAAAATATGGCATTATTAGAAAGTTTTAAAGTTCATAGCACCATAAAAATTCTGAGAACAAGAAAATAATATCCTGTAGTTAAAAAAAATCATTAAATTAAACTAAAATTTCAGCAGAGGTAGTAGATACTGCATAACAAAACAAAACAAACAAAAACATAAACCGGATAGCTACAAGTCTAATATGATATGTTACTACTATTCTACCAAAAAAAAAAACCCTTTCTCTCTGTGGGGGCCCCCTGAAGATGATATTGCCCAAAAACTAGATTATACTTCACCCCTCTGTCATCAGGCTTGGACATCTGATTTGCTGTGGGAAATGAAATGTGAGTGGAATCGCCACTTTTGAACCAGAGCTTCCAGAGCGTAATGTGGTTCACCATCTCAAGATGGAGATATCCTTGATGGGGCTGCACCTTCTGCCCTGGTCCCTTCCTAAAGATAATATGGAGTTATGGAGTCTGAGCCTAACTGCAATGCCTAAGTAGCATGAGAAAAATAATCTTTTTCTTGTATATAATAATAATCTTTTCTTGTTATAAGCTCTGAAGTGTTGGGATTGTTATCTGGTTATAAGGGAGCGTAAGCACACTTATTCGGCCAGCTCGATAATTATCCCAGAATTCAGAACAAGAGAGAAAGGTAGAAGTTTAAAGATGAAGGGTGCAAACAACATGGGTGGAACTGGAGGGTGTTATGCTGAGTGAAATAAGTCAATCAGAGAAAGACATGTATCATATCACCTCACCGATATGAGGAATTCTTAATCTCAGGAAACAAACTGAGTGTTGCTGGAGTGGTGGGGGTTGGGAGGGATGGGGTGGCTGGGTGATAGACATTGGGGAGGTATGTGCTATGGTGAGCGCTGTGAATTGTGCAAGACTGTTGAATCACAGATCTGTGCTTCTGAAACAAATAATGCAATATATCTTAAGAAAAAAAAAAGAAGAGGAAGATAGCAGGAGGGGAAGAATGAAGGGGAGTAAGTCGGAGGGGGAGACGAACCAGGAGAGATGATGGACTCTGAAAAACAAACTGAGGGTTCTAGAGGGGAGGGAGGTGGGAGGATGGGTTAGCCTGGTGATGGGTATTAAAGAGGGCACATTCTGCATGGAGCACTGGGTGTTATGCACAAACAACAAATCATGGAACACTACATCAAAAACTAATGATGTAATATATGGTGATTAACATAACAATAAAAAATTTAAAAAAAGATAAAGGGTGCAAGATGTGGGATAGATCTAGGAAACTCAATGTGCGTATAAAAGAGATTCAAAGTATATTGTGATTGGACTAGAAATACATTAAAGGTGCAGATTAATCAGGGCAGAATTGCATTTTTTACAATATGGAATGTTCCGGTTGAGGAATGCATCATATGGATTTGTCCTCTTGCTGTCCTTTGGGTGTGCTTGTGCAGAATTGTTCTTAGAGTTCCTGAACATTTTTTCCTGAAACCAAAACGGATGTTAATTTTAAACATCTATGTTTTTAAGGTTCACCAAAATCAATCTGCAATTTGTAAATTTAGATTTAACCTTTTAGTGGAGTGCCTTCCAAGTTTTATCTTTGAAAGTTCTCTGACTAGGGATGCTTCGGTGGCTCAGTCATTAAGCTACGCCTCAGGTCATGATCCCAGGGTCCTAGGAAGGAATCGAGCCCCACCCACATCAGGCACCCTGCTTCTCCCTCTTCCACTCTCCTTGTTTGTGTTCCTGCTCTTGCGTGCTCTCTCTCTCTCTGTCACATAAATAAATAAAATCTTTAAAAAAAAAAGAAAAGAAAAGAAGAAAGAAAGTTCTCAGACGTTGGCATGATGTTACGCTCATTGACAAACTCCTTAAGAGTGGAAATTCCTGGCCTCTCCTCCCTGAGATTCGAGTAGCTGACCCGGGTGGGACCTAGGAGTCAACAGTTTTAATAAAATGTCAGAAAATTTGGATTTTAACTAAATGATTGTCCACACTTAGAAAAATTTTGCTTTTAAATGGCTTCCAAATATTTTAGCTGTGGCTCTGTAGTTTTTTTCTTGTTTCTTGTTTTTTTTCTTTTAAATGAAAAACAAACAAACAACCCTTAGCAACATTAGTATCAGAATCCTCCTTGCCTTCTCATACAAAAAAAGTCAAACAGCTTTTAAATCACTAAAAAATTAAGACCCTAATTTCTTGTTTACCACTGGTCTTCACTATTTAAAACAGTGTGATACAATTCAATCTTGCTGGGTGAGTACCTAGATGCCTTAATAAATGAAAATTATCATCTTCCAAGGTAATTTTAGAAATTTGTGGCTTGACACAATTTATCTCCATACTCTCTTAATGGTCCCCTCCTCCTAAATATTCAGAAACTATAAACCCTCTTTTCTGAATTTGAAATATACATGCAGTGACAACTTCAGAGCCTTGCTCTTCCCTGAATGATTTTTTACTCCTTGCTTCTAAGTAAGAAAAGGTAAAACTCATATAATTAATCACAATTGAAAAATCAGCTCTTTTACTTTCTGTAGGTGTAATATAATAAATGTCAAAAAATAAGTTGCTTAAAAATATAAGCCAAGTCATAGTACAATTTGTGAGGATAATATCTCTGAAGCTTTTATTTCTATTATTTGAAAACATATTGCACACCATCATCTTTCAGTTGAAAAGGAAAAAATATAACACTTCATTAAAAAAATAAAAACACAATGTTCCTACCTAACACATTGCAGAGAAAGACATGAAAAACTTAACCTCAAATACTTGTTCAAAATTAATATCTGTCATCGACACATACCTCTTTGCTCCTCATCATAATCCTTATCATAACTTCACAATTTTATCTGTGGTTTAATTTCCTAAGTGAATTTCTGGATTCTTTTCCTCAAGAACAAAAATTGTTAATATGTATTTCAGCTATGTCACAAACAGGATATAGAATAATATGTAGTAACTATATAAGTTCTATAGTGTAAATCATATTTGGTGAACAACAGAGTACTCAGATAATAAATAAACTTTATCCCAAATAATTCACTATTATTTTTTCTATGGATTTTTTTACATAATTGAGATCATGCTGTATGTATAATTTCACATCCTGCTGTTTACTTGATAGCTTAACTTAAGAATAACTCATATTAATAAAAAAATAAACATAATTTGAGGAATAACAAATATGCTGATTGAAATTAAAGTGGATGTTTTGATGTTTATTTCTTATCTGTACATTAATTAAAGATCAAATATCAGGGTCACTTGCTTTTTTGTTTTTAAGATTTTATTTATTTATTTGTTAGAGAAGAGCACACAGCAGGGGGAGTGGCAGGCAGAGGAAGAAGCAGGCTCGCCATTGAGCAAGGAGCCCCATGCAGGACTCAATCCCAGAACGCTGGGGTCATGACATGAGCTGAAGGCAGATGCTTAACCAACTGAACCACCCAGGCGTCCCTGGGCCAATTGCTTTTTGAAGCTACTCTTGGTATAGTGATTAAAACAAACAGTGGCCGTGTTTGCCTTAACTATTGCTATAAAATGCTGTGCAACCACATACTCAGGAGTTTGCAACAAGCATTTAAAGGCTTAAACTCAGAACGGATACACTGTCATTTCTGCCCATATCCTTACTGAAAACAGGCAACATGGTTAAGTTCAACATCAATGGGTAGATAGTAGACTTTCCCCACAGAAGCTGGGATGGGGAGAGCAAGAAAGAATATTTTCTGACCTCTACAAGTGGCAAATGTGGCACATTTATCCGTGTATTCATTTTGATAGAGGATGCTCCGAGTTCATGTAAAAAATGGCTTATAATTATTAAGGAGTAAATTTAAAAGAAGAGGTACTAAACATCCCTAATTTATAATACTTGAAATTATTTGATTTGCCAAAAAGATTCTACTGCATTCCTAGTATCCTGCAGAAAACTTGTAGTGCAGATTCCATAAAAATCATAATGCATGAGAAATTACAGTGTGTCTTCAGAATTGAAGGTTAATAACAGTTACAAATATTCTTACAATTCAGCTCTCTCCATGCTCTGATCAGTGGGGTGTCATGTGCTGGAAATCAGACTCTTGCTTTGATACGATGTTGAATAGAGGAAACTGCATCTGAGAAGAAAACTGGAAGTGTGAGGAAATTTCTAGGAAAACTAGTGTTCTTTTATGGTAAAGGTTTATGGTTGTGAAGATGAGGTGAGCTAGGATGAGTTGATCTAGGATGGTAGGTGCGGTAAACTGAAGAATATTCCCCAAATATATTTAGATCCTTATCCATGGAACCTGTGGATGTTATCTAATTTGGCAAAAGGACTTTAGAGATATGATTAAATTAAAGCTTTTAAAATGGGAAGATTGTCCTGGATTATCGGGGTGTGCCCTAAATGTTATTCCAAGTGTCTTATGAGAGGGAGGCAGAAGTGGATATATAATTACTTACTACAGAAGAGGAGGCAATGTGATTATGGGAGCAGGGTTTGGAGCAATTCAATTTGCAGATGGTGGAGGGTTAGCCAAGGAATATACATGGCCAACCGAAGCTGTGAAAGGCAAGGAAACAGATTCTCCCCTAGATGCTCTAGAGGGCACGTGGCCCTGCTGATACTCTGATTTCAGCCCAGTGAAACCCATTTCACACTTCTGGTCTTCAGAACTGTAAGAGAATATGTTTATGTTGTTTTAAGCCACCAAGTTTGCAGTGATTTGTTACGGCAGCCATAGGAAACTAGTACAGATGGTACCAGAGAAAGTTTATAAGTTTCTAAATTGACCTACAGACTGGGGCACTCTGTTCTGCAGAAAAAATCATCACAAAATTTTGCTCAATGTGCAATACTCCATTAAATGAATTCCTGTTGGCACTAATTGTGCCTGACCTAAATGAGATAAAACTAAAGGAACTAAAGTCCTACTCACTTGAGGAAGTTGTTTGTGTTGAAAGATAGGAATGGAAGGCCTTCAGCTTCTTTTTTTTTTTTTTAAAGATTTTTATTTATTTATTGAGAGAGAGAGAGAGAATGGTAGAGAGAGAGCATGAGAGGGAAGGAGGTCAGAGGGACAGGCAGACTCCCTGCTGAGCAGGGAGCCCGATGCGGGACTCGATCCCGGGACTCCAGGATCATGACCTGAGCTGAAGGCAGTCGCTTAACCAACTGAACCACCCAGGCACCGGCCTTCAGCTTCTTATGGGTTGAATTGTCTCCACCCAAAAGGTGTTGAAGTCCAAAGCCTTGGGACCTGTGAATAGGACAGTGTTTGGAAATAGGGTCATGGCAAGATGATCAGGCTCAGATGAGGTCATAAAGGCGGGTTCTAATCCAGTATGACTCCTCATAAGAAGGGGAAATTTGAACACAGAGACGGACATGCACATGGGGGAGAAAGCACGTGACGGTGGATGCAGAGATCGTGGTGATGTCACAGATGTCAAGGAACACAAAAGCTTGCCAGCAAAGCCCCAGAAGCAAGGAGAGAGGCGGCAGCAGATTTTCCCTCACAGCCCCTCAAAAGAATTGGCTCTGTTGATGCTTTGATCTGGGATTTCTAGCCTTCAGAACTTTGATACGATGCACTTCTGTTGATGAAGCTGCCCAGTTTGTGGCCTGGTTTCAGCAGCCCCGGGAAATGGATACACAGATCTGAGTGAGGATTTGTCCGTCGCAGCTTTCTTCCAAACCCTATCATGGACAACTACACTCTCAAGTCCTCCTAATTATCAGTCCTAGAGGCTAATGCCAAGACTTCCCTCTGGAACTCGTTTTAATCAAGTTTTGTTCTGTTTGGATTTTGTTTATATTTAAATGTTAAATGCACAAATTCTAAAGTAGCTAATTCTATGTTTATTTTGGCAAGCTGCCTTACTAACCCGTCTGATTTTCTCTTTCTCTGTCTTTATGCGTCTCTGTCTGTCTCTGTCTGTATTTCTCCCTGTCATTTTTTCTCTCTCTCCCACTCTCTCTCTCTAGGAGAACTGTAACAGGAAAGTCATGGCAGAACATGGCAGAGAAAGGATTGCTTTTAACAACACTCGACTGGTATGGGCCGTGAGTGAAGCTTCAGCTACAGCATAACTCATTGGATAATCAGGTCACAAAAGATAAGTTCCAGAGTTAGAAAGCTCTTCACTCCATCTCTCCATTTCCCATCCATCTATATGTTTCCCCAAATCCAGAACTAAAGTATTTGTATCCTCTGTGAGGGGCTGAGTTGTCTCCTTTGGTTTGTGTTGAATCTGCTGGACTGCTAAGCTTTATTTCCGGGCCAGAATATAGCTGGGTGCACAGGGGCTGAAGGTTATGCATCCTCAAGGATTGATATTAGGGAGTTCTGGGGCGTGGGCCTCCTTCCTTGCATCTATTTGTCCATAACTCTCTTCCTTCTCAGAGACCCGCCCTCCCAGGCCAAGGGTTGGAGGTTGGAGGCTGCCCTCTGAGGACTTTCTGACACCAAGGGGTCAGTCTGAGAGGGTGGCACTCAGAGCAGCTTTCTCCCCACGCTACGGGCATGAGGGTGGGGACCTGTCAGACCCACAAGGGACAGCAAAGGAGGCTGCTGCCAGGACCGGCTTTTCTCTTAGTCTTACTCTTGGAGAGTTTATTTCTGAGCCAGGAACTGGCAAGGTGGTGGCTGGTCATGCCGGTGGTAGGCCAGTGAGAGGAAGAGAGATGCTTATTAATTTGGTTTCTCTGAAATGTGTAAACTTATCACACCTACTACTAAGAAATGACATTTTTGGGAAGGTGTAAAGAATTTGATGGGATTTTGAGCAAAGTTTCCTGTCATCTGGTTCACCTACCATTGTTCAGGAGTCAGATAAACTCAGTAGCTATCAGTTTTAAGAGTTTACCATGTGCCACATACTGGTCTCTGTATTTTTCCTGAAAAAATTCACTTAACCCTCTTAGAAGAACCTCTTAAGGTGGGTATCATAACTACTTTTATGGGTGAGAAAACCGAGTGAGAGAGGGCTTGAGCAATCACTGAGTCAGCAAATCAGAGGCAAATGGGGGCTTAACAAGTTAGCAAATAGGAAAATGGTTTTAACATGGGTTTTAAGTGCTGGGAACTTGTTTACAGCTGTGGAGAATCAGCTGAAAAAGGATGCAGAACAACAATATCCCTGTTACACTGAAAACATATTGCCTAGACCTTCCTTCAGAATCTGGAAGGTTGGTATGTGTTTCCTGCTCCAGGAACTGGGTGTGTGTGTGTGTGTGTGTGTGTGCGCGCGCGCGTGCATGCTTGTGTGTGTGTGTGTGTGTGTGGTTTGTTTAAATCTATCAACAGTTAACATTATAACACTTTGTTTTGCCATTATAAATGCGTATTTTCTTTTTGTATTGAAACTCCTTCTGAGACATATGTATTTGCTCACTTAGTTATTCCACACTTAGTGATTAAACGCCTACTGTGTGCAGACCTTGTGTGAGGCACTGAGGACATGTTAGAAAACAGGACACACATTCTTTGCCATCACAGTCTTTATGATCTAGTTTTATTTTGACTGTACCTGCTACAACATTAGGAGAAAGTCAGCATTTACACCAAGGAAAGCGTAAGAGAGAAAGGCAAGATGAAGGAGAAATGTGATCTGTAGGGAGCCACCCCCAAGGCTGCAGAAATCAGGACAGGAGCTGTGCCAAGTCCATTGCTTGTCTAAGCTGTCTTTCTCCTGTTTCTTTCTCTTTCTTAAGCCGGGTGAACAGATACAAGTAGCCCCCAATTAGGCCAGCCAAAGGGATTCCCTAAAAGCTCCGTGCTTGGGGAGCAGAGGTTGGATGTCTGCTGGGCTGGAAAGGTCGCTGGCTTATCTAGGCAGCTGGTAGAGTCCTGGCTCTGTCTTGATCACAGACAGAGAACTAAACTGTAGCCATTTGCTTGTATGAATGCAGATGTGAGGCTTATTTTTTTTTCTCCATCCACCACTGAAATACAATTAAAAGGTCAACCAAGGATCCTGAACAAATTGTGCTGGGGTTGAGGGGAGAGGAGACAAGAGGGAGTGCTTTGTTTGAGGATTAGCTTGTTTACAACTGAGTTAAAAAACATTTTGTTTCAAGCAGAGTGCTAGGCATTTGTCAATAAAACCAGTCTTGGAAAGGGCAAAAATCTGCTTGTTTGTCATAGAGTCCCCGCGTGTTTAAGGATCCAGCCCCAGCTGAGGGGCTTGCAGATGTTGGTACTCATCCTAATAACACTGGAGCTCTAGCCACTCAGTGAAGGGGAGTGTGTGATGCTTGGGACAAGGACTTGGGTGTGAATATTTGTGCCAGGATACACCGGGAAGGGAGTGAAAAAATGAGAGAAGGAAGGGCAGGAAGTCAATGGAGGGTGTGTTAGTAAGTAGGTTACTACTGTTGGCAGCTGGGGCTCAGTCTGGCTGGGACTGCTGGGGATGGAGTAGAACGTGCCTCCAAGCTCTCGTACCCAAAAAGCAATGAAGATGACATCTTTATGCACCAACTCCCTTTGTCATGGGCACAGCGCTCCTCCCAGGGGTTCATATTCCCTGGACTTCTAGTCATGTCCTCTTGCGTGCAGAGGAAGTCTTGCAACAGAAAAGTATAGTGCTTGCTGGAGGAAATAGTTTGTGCAGATGGTCTATAGGAAGACTACCAACCTCATTGCCAGGAGCTCTAATCATGATGGGAAAAGAAGAGAAAGATCTGGTGATGTCATTGGACCCGGAACCATTTCATCTTATCAAAGTTACAAGGATGTTGGCCCACAAATGGGCCAACAGTTTATCCTCTGAGCAGGACTAATGGAAAAGGAAAGGTAAGGAAAAGCAGGATGCCCTAAGGGGCCTGGCTGCAGGACTTGAAGCTTGAATCAGGTCTCCCGGAGAGCAGGGACTGTACAATTATCTGTGTCAGGTGTTGGAACTAGCAGCCCGTGGGCTGTTTCTTCCTCGAGTTGCATTGTGTTTTGCCCACAGTATCTGTGTTTGTGTTTACATAAATTGCTTGCCAAGTTATACAAATCTAGAGAGTTCACATAAAAATCCAGAGTTCTAGCGTCCATTAAAAAATAAAAGATACTAGAAGATCCAACAATGCTTGGAGCTGCTCTTATATGTGGTCACAATACCTGGGAGGTAAATAGCGACTTTACTCCATGGATGGGGCATGGACTTCCTTTGGTTACAATCTCAATCACGACCTGAACTGTTGTTCTCCGGCCATGGGGACTGAGTCGGTTGCATTTACCAGAGAGCTTGTACTTTTGCTTTTCTTATATCCTGCTTTACTCATTTATATTTCCTACCTGGCTGCTAAGCATTTGATTGGGTAGCCCCTGATTTTTATAATCTGCTCCCTCTATCACCACACCCTAGGGTCCGCTAGTGGACAACTGGTTTCCAAGGATTTTACTGGCCCTCTATGACCCCATTCCTAGAGTGAGGAAAGTGTTCAGACTCTTGACTCTATTATTTAAGACCTTCAGGAGCCTTCCATATCTTGACCCAAACTCCCTCAACTTGCATCCCCCCACTTTCATACGTATGACACATTTTCCAGGCACTTTGACCAAATTGTGATACCCAGACTGCTTCACAGGAGTTATGTTTTCCTGTCCTGAACTGAATTCCTCATCTTTTTCATCCAAACCTGATTGTCCTTTCTTATAAGTGGCAAATTAAGAAAAGACAGACCCATTCTCACTTCTCTGTTTATGTCACATAGCACATCCAAAGTAACAGAAAATTCTTTCAACATTACCTTCAAAATTTACTTTAGTTTCCCGTGCTATATTCTGTATCATGTCTAAATCTACCATTGTGGCATAGGCCATCATCACTTCTGTTTTCATTTATGCTAATGATCTCCTGATGGAGTTCTGAGCTTCCACCATTACTCCCCAATGGTCTATGCTCAACACAATGGGATTATTCTGAGACCTAGCTCATATCAATGCCATCCTTTGCTCAAAGCCCTCCTCCCACTTCCTCTCCAACCTTAC